TAGTGGATTAGTTTGCTGCTGGGTGTCCTGGTTTCAGCTGGGATAGAGTTAATTGTCTTCCTAGTAGCTAGTACAGTGCTATGTTTTGAGTTCAGTATGAGAAGAATGTTGATAACACACTGATGTTTTCAGTTGTCGCCAAGTAGTGTTTAGACTAAGTCAAGGATTTTTCAGCTTCTCAACCCCAGCCAGTGAGAAGGCTGGAGGGGCACAAGAAGTTGGCACAGGACACAGCCAGGGCACCTGACCCAAACTGGCCAAAGGGGTATTCCAGACCATGGGACATCATGCCCAGTATATAAACTGGGGGGGGTGGGGGCAGGAGAATCGCCACTCAGGGACTAACTGGGCGTCAATCGGCGGGTGGTGAGCAATTGCACTGCGCATCATTTGTATATTCCAATTCTTTTATTATTACTATTATCATTTTATTAGTGTTATCATTATCATTATGAGTTTCTTCTTTTCTGTTCTGTTAAACTGTTCTTATCTCAACCCACGAGTTTTACTTCTTTTCCCAATTTTCTCCTCCATCCCACTGGGGGTGGGAGGGGAGGGGGGGGTGAGCGGCTGCATGGTGTTTAGCTGCTGGCTGGGGTTAAACCACGACCCTGGGCCAGGGAGGAGCTGGACAAAGACCAGGCTATCATGGAGCAGGGGTCCCCCTGAATGGTTGGCCAGCACCCCTCGAGCCACGTAGTAATGTATTCACATGCTACAATGCATTTGTGTGTCTATAGCTCTGCAGGGGAATGAAAACTAGACGGAAATCCCTGCTAAATTTTTACTCAATCCGCCAATTGTACACAACCATGCTGCTGTACTGTAGATTCTTGCTGGCTTTCTGGTCTAAAAAAGAAATTTGTAAGTAGAGCAAAGTTCATTTCTGGCCAGGGGAAATTTATCAGAAATAACTTTTTCTTACTTGGATGCAGCCTGCCCAAGGTCCTAAGCCACATCGGTGTCTTGGAGGAGTGAAGCTTTGCTGTTTGACACTGGAAAGCTGCTAGCACAAGGTTTGTACCTGGGCCTCGGTACACAAGCGGTACACCTGCCACTTAGTCCCCAGAGGTATATCCATGTGGAAAGTCTGCACCTCGGCCTTGGCACGCGTCCTCAGAGACAGCCTCCTTGCCGGCATTGCCTGTGACCACAACTCCTCTTGTGTTTCAGCACGCAGGGAAGGCAGAGACTGCTTTTCTTCTGATATTACAGGTTTGGAGCTGACCCATTGCGGCTTGGTCTCGGATGCAGAGGGGAGCACTTCATCTGCTGCTAACTGGAGTGTGGAGGGGTGTTTCTGCACGTCTGTCTGGGAGGCAAATGGAGGCACCCCCTCCGCTCCCAGGAAGTCAGGTCTGGAGGTTTGGACTTGGGCTTCACCTCTTAACTGTGAGGGATGCCATTTCAGCCCTGGGGGTACTTCACCAGGATAGGTTTGTGTTTCCTCCGCTGTTTGCACTGGAGGCATGGGTGGGATTTCAGCTGGGGCTGCTGTATCCCGCAGTGTGGGGTGTCGGGGTGTTTCAAGGCTGGAGGTGTGAGAGGGGGGAACATTCTCGGCTTTGGATGTCATCAGCTTGGATGTCTGGACCTCTGCATGAGATGTGGGAGCACCCTTGGCCACGCTTACTGTGAACATCAAGGACTTCCCCTGAGCTCCTGCCCCTAAGCCAGCTGAAAACCCCTCCTGTGGTCCATGGCTCCGCTCCTGGGTGTCTGCGCGCAGCCATGAGAAGGAAGGCTCCTCCGTCCCTGCCACGGCTTTCACCCACCATGTGCACACCTTGGCATCGACAAGCAGCGGGAAGAGAGGCACTGGGTTCATATCAAGGGATTCAAAGTCCTGCGTTTACAAGGGTGTTTATGAGGGAGCTGCACTCATCCTGTCCTAATTTGCCAGATGGGGCTTTTAAGGGCAAAGTTACTTCTGCAATCACCCCTCTGGCCTCATAACCAAATACTTGTTTCTTTCCCAGGGTCTTAGCAGTTTGGGTCCACACAAAACTTCTGGGGCACAGCAATTTAGCCTCCCCTAGCTGGCTATGTTGCATGTCTTCAGCTGCTAACAAGGACCATATCTACAACAGGAAGGGCAGCTGCTGTTAAGATTGCACTTTGAACCCAGGGGACAAAAGATATAAATAAAAAAAAAAAAGGTTCTCATTAAGAGTAGTGAATGAAAGCACTTCCAGAAGCATGTTTGATGCCCCTGTACATTTCACAGGAGCTGCTATCTGAATTATGAAGAGGAAAGAAGTGTCATTAGAAAGTCATCTAACAGACCAGAGATGCTTTGGGGAAACAAGAAACAAATCTGTGTGCTTCCACAAAAATGGAAACAAATTGCAAAGCTGAGGGAGGCTGTGTTGTGAAGAAAGCCTATAGAGTCCTGAAGGATCAGGAAGGTCAATGTGGATGAATTGCTGGTAGTATCTCAGTGCATGAAGTAAGGGACCTCAAAAAACCCACAAGTTGTGGGGGAAAAGCAAATCCCCAGGGGAGTTACAGTGTACCAGGGGATGTGGTGGATGTCACGAGAGTCAGGGTTTTGAAGGTAGATTTGTAGGAGACAAAACTACAGAGTGACCAGACACAAGGAACCACATCTGGCTCACGAGCTCCTTTCCTACATGGCATCTTGTCTGTATGACAGAAGTGGCTGAAGCCACCTCTCGCCAGTTCAGGTATCTCTGCTCCTGTAATTACCTGGATTATTTTTACCATCTCCTCTTCTGGCATCTCTGGCTCAGTTTGGTTTGTACTGAGACTGCAAGGTAAGTGGGGACAGCTGAGGTTCAGAGCCTGTAACAAATCACAAAAACCAAGCAGTACACAAACTGCATCATACAACACAAAGACGCTCCCAGCATCTGAGACAGAACTAGAAACCATGTGCAATTATTTTATTATGACTTAAAATAACATTTCTTCCAATGACGGATCACGGTTTTGTATCTTCTCTTTTTCTCCTTGTTTTGTCCCCACACATCCAAGTAGGTAAGACCTATCTCTGCTGCAACGCCCACCACCCCCACTTGTGTTGGGTTTGTGGTACCTAATGGACAGACTCCAAGGATTTTGCTGCATGATGGGATGTAACTCAGTTTTGCTGTCTGTATTGCTGGACAGGTCCCACCTGACTGTCAGTCTCATCCCTGGAGAACAGCGGAACTGTTTCACATCCGATAGCCCCTGTTTCAGTGCTGGGATGTGCCTGGCTGCATCCCTGTCAACCTTGCCTGTCCCCCAGGTCGCCAATAATTTTTTTTAACCTCTTGGCCTTGTTCACCCACTCCTGGGAAAGAAATCACATGCTCCGTGCCTACGAGCAATGAATATTTCCTCCAGGTTGCAGGCAAGCTTTTCTTGCATGTGTACCAAACTGAAAAGAAGATGATGAACATGGCCAGGAGAGGTCGGCATCTGAGGAACTGGGACCCAACAACCATCCGACTTAGTTTCCTCTTCCTAAAATGATTGCAACATAAAACCAATGATTTTAAAAGCACCAGCTTTTAACAATGCTGTTCCAGCTCCCTGACTGCATCATACGCTGCAGTGTGCCCTTTAGCTGTGGTTTTTCTGGCCACGGTGGGAGGGGGACTAGCCCAGAGGACCCTTTCCTCTGACCCCTGGGGACCCACCGTACCTGCTGGGTGATGTGGTTGTGGGGAGACTGGCACAGCATAACAGCTTCCAGGTCCCTGGGAGCCCCACAGCACAAAAGCAACAGGCAAAATCCTTCTTTTGCCTCTAGCTTCGTTGCTCCTGGGTGGAAAGATTGGTGCAAAGCTTCCCGGGCTGCCTGCATCCCCCAGCCACCCTGGGGCTGGTTTTATCCCTATCCCATTCACCTCATCTCTTCCACACGGCCCCAGCAGCAAGGAGGGGGCATGGCCATCACCGTGCCCTGTCCTGTCCAGTCCCCCCCAAAGTGTGACATCAGCACAGGGGGTTCTGAGGTAGGAGGCAGTGGGTGCAGGACCCTATGTGAGCCCTGGCCATGGTGGAGATGCACATGTGGAAGCTGCCAACAACGTTTCTTCATTGCATGCTAGAAACGCCTCTGTACCGCATACTGCCTTTTTTATTCCTCCAAAAAAAGGTGCACAGGTGTATCTCCCATGCATGTCCTGGCTGGGCTATGTGGGCCTGGGGCGATGTGAGGTGGGATGAGGCTTCGCAGCACATTGTAGCAATGCAGTAGTTTCCACACAGCTGCAAATTTGGGAGAAAGATGCAAAAATAAAGCTCTTTATTTTTGCAAAAGTCCCTCTGGTGCAGGGAGGCCGGTGAGACACAGGCAGGCTGGGGTGGTGCTGGAGATGCTGCGGGGGAGCAGGACTGGGGGGGGGGGGGGGGGCATCCAGCGATGCTTCCTCAGATCTGGGTGCAGAAGAAAAGGTCAGTGCCCGACATCTTCTGCACGTAGTCCTGGTCGAAGCGCTCACTCTGGGCCACGGTGAAATGGTTCTTCCAGTCTCCAACAGTGCCTGGGGCCGGGCGAGACAGGGCTCAGCGGAGGCCAGGGGGGACGATGTGCCAGGAGCCCCCCGGGGCCACTCACCTTTGCGCATGAAGGGGGAGATGCCCTGGTCCATGAGGTGGGAGGGCACCATGCTGTAGTTGGTGGTGGGGTTGTCCCGCATGGCATCAAAGGAGGTGTGTCGGGTCATGGTGTCCAGCGCCGCCTCCGGCAGCTCCCGCCCCAGGAACTGGGCCACCTTGGCAATCTCCCGGCGGAGGTCCTGTGGGACACAGGCCGACGCTCACCCCTCCTGACGCCCCCCCAGACCCCACACCACCGTCCACCCTGGTGCCCCACCTCCTTCAAGTCCTCATAGAAAAGGTAGAGGATGGGGTGATCCTTCCTCCGTTCCCAGTAGCCCTTGACATGGTCGTACCAGGAGCCATATGCCACTGCATGGGGTGAGCAGCCAGAGGGCTGTCAGTGGGTGACAGCACCCTGCAGGGTCCCCAAATGCACTCACAGGTGCCCTGTCCCACCTCTGCCAGCCATGAACTCCTCCAGGTACTGGGCCCATGTCCCAGGGTGCGGCTCGAACTTGTTCATCAGGTCAAAGTGGTAGAAGGAGACGGCCACGTCCTTGGCGTTGCGCCCTACGTAGACCATCTGCAGAGAGGATGTGGGGTACAAGGGGCAGCCCCAGGACCCCCAACAGGGGGGGATGCTCCAGCCCCTAGGGCTCCCAACACCATTTAGGATGCTGGAGGGAGCAGTGGGGGATCCTGCCCCAGGGGAACAGGTGGACTGCAATACCCCCTGAGGAAGAGACCAGCGCTGGGGGTTACCTTGCAGCGGTTTTCCCAGAAGGATTTGGGCAGGATCTGTGTGGGCAGGTGGGTCTTCACCACACGGGGTGAGGGCATGGTGGCCAGCAGGTCCGTCCCTGGGGGACCCCAAAGCACATCCCCAGCAGGCCCTCGGCGGAGTCACCCTGGGCTCAGCCCCCAGTGGGGTGCCCGCGGCCAAGCCCCCACACCCCGCTACCTGCTGGCATCTCCCCGGGGGCAGAGAACTCCAGCATGGGCACCCTCTTGGTGATAATGTCCCGCTTGCACTTCTCGGGGTCGCCGCCTTGCAGGATCATGTCCACGATCTCGCTGACCCAGGTGGTGCCTGAGGAAAGCAACCCACCAAGGGGGTGGACAGGGAGGTGTTGGGGGGCTCAGCACTGACAGCCCCCCGGACCCCAACCGGGCGGCATGGGGGCGAAGGGAAATCCCACATGGCTCTGTCCTGACAGCCCCGAATGTCCTGCAACCCCCCAGGCAGCAGGTCCCAGCCGTACAACACACTCACCCGCCCAGCACCACCACATCTGGTGGCCGTGGGGACACTCACCGGATTTGGGGAAGGTGACCACCACGATGTCCTCGGGGCGGCTCTGGAAGTTGTCGATCCGCTCCCAGTCATGGGCAAAGGCGTTGACCATGGGAATGCCGTGCACCATGTGCCAGGGCTGCCGCAGGTAGGTGTCCAGATTGGCCATCCTGCCGGGGAGGGGGGCAAGTGGGGGGCTGGCCGGTGCAGGGGGGGGCCCTCGCCCTCCCACGGTGGCCACTGGCCAGGGCAGTGCAGGCACCTGGCACTGTACCTGCCCGGGGAGCGGCAGTGACACTGCCTGTGCAGGGACCGGAGGTCACCGCAGCCCTACCGCTGCACCCACAATGGGAATGGGGGTCCCATCTAGGGGTGCAGGAGCCCACCCTGTGCCTCAGTGAGGGCTGGGGGGTGCCCGTGGGGTGCCAGTGTCATCCAGGCCAGGCGCTTCTCCGCCTGCCTCAGCACCCCAGGGGAGAAGGGAACAGGGTCCCCTGGGTTATTGCAGCAGCCCCCAGCCCAGGGAAAGGTTTAGGGGTGATGACTGCACCCCAAAGTACCCCAAACCCACTGCCCTGGACCCCACAGCACACGGCTCCAAGCAGCTGAGCATGGGCAGCGTGCCCAGATGGCACCCGCAGGGCACCCAGCTCACCTAATGCTGTGCCGCTCTGCGCCGGGAGGGTGACGGCAGAGGACAGGGAAACACGGGGCCCCACAGTGTTTTTTACAGGCAGGAGAAGGGAAGAGGCAGGGCCGGTGAGGGCAGCAATGTTTGCCAGCTCTGCGGCTGCCGGGAGGGAGGAGCGAGCACGGGGAGAAGCCAGTGGCCGCTGATCTCCCTGTGGGGCCGTGGTGGACATCTCCGGACCCACCAACCCCACCCACAGGTCCCAGCCTGTGTCCCCCCGACATGGGGATGGGGAGGCTGCCTCTTGCTGCCCGCGCCCAGCTGGCACCTTCCCTGCACACAGTTTTGCCAGAATCCTCTGCAATCCTGCAAGATCCTGGCAGCAATCCCCCCACCACGGCAGCCAAGGGGACATGGGGTGGCACTGGCTTGTCCCCAACCCGAGGAGAGGCCAGCAGCCCCAGGGTACGGCTGGGTTGGGTTCAGCACAGGCACAGGGCAGTGAGCATCCCATGGGGGGGTATCAGAGAGGACATTTTATTTCTCTCCAGCAGTCCCAGGAGAGGGGAAGGAGCCCCCAGCGTGGTGGCGGTGCCATTGGCATGGATTGGATTTGGGGGGCGTCCAGTGGTGCCTCCTCAGATCTGGGTGCAGAAGAAAAGGTCAGTGCCCGACATCTTCTGCACGTAGTCCTGGTCGAAGCGCTCACTCTGGGCCACGGTGAAATGGTTCTTCCAGTCTCCAACAGTGCCTGGGGCCGGGCGAGACAGGGCTCAGCGGAGGCCAGGGGGGACGATGTGCCAGGAGCCCCCCGGGGCCACTCACCTTTGCGCATGAAGGGGGAGATGCCCTGGTCCATGAGGTGGGAGGGCACCATGCTGTAGTTGGTGGTGGGGTTGTCCCGCATGGCATCAAAGGAGGTGTGTCGGGTCATGGTGTCCAGTGCCGCCTCCGGCAGCTCCCGCCCCAGGAACTGGGCCACCTTGGCAATCTCCCGGCGGAGGTCCTGTGGGACACAGGCCGACGCTCACCCCTCCTGACGCCCCCCCAGACCCTACACCACCGTCCACCCTGGTGCCTCACCTCCTTCAAGTCCTCAGAGAAGAGGTAGAAGATGGGGTGATCCTTCCTCCGTTCCCAGTAGTCCTTGACGTGGTCATACCAGGAGCCATATGCCACTGCATGGGGTGAGCAGCCAGAGGGCTGTCAGTGGGTGACAGCACCCTGCAGGGTCCCCAAATGCACTCACAGGTGCCCTGTCCCACCTCTGCCAGCCATGAACTGCTCCAGGTACTGGGCCCACGTCCCAGGGTGCGGGTGCAGCTTGTTCATCAGGTCAAAGTGGTAGAAGGAGACGGCCACGTCCTTGGCATTGCGCCCCACGTAGATCATCTGCGGAGAGCTTGGTGACATGTCGGGACTTGCAAGGTCCTGGCAGGGCAGGTCCCCCCCTTATCTCTGCTGGGTCCCTCCAGGTGTGTCCTCTCCAGCCTGTTACGTTGCAGCGGTTTTCCCAGAAGGATTTGGGCAAGATGTGAGCTGGGATGTGGGTCTTGATGATGCGAGGAGACGCCATGGCCTCCAGCTGCTCTGTGCCTGCAAAGGAGATTTCCCCCAGGAGCGCTCACACTGCTGGCAGGGTGGGCCCCCCCCAAAACAAGCCTGCCCCCCATGCAGCACCCGCTGCCTCCCACCACCCCCTGCCACTCTGCTACCTGCTGGCATCTTCCCGGGGGCAGCGAACTCCAGCATGGGCACCCGGTTGACAATGGCATCCCGCTTGCATTCTTCAGGGTCACCACCTTTCAGGATCATGTCCGCGATCTCGCTGACCCAGGTGGTGCCTGGCGAGGAGAGGTCGGGCATCTGGCTGGTGCCATTCCCACCGAAGCCCCGTCTCAGGCACCAGAGGGGCACCGTCCGCCAGCATTGCCTTTCGGCATTCCCCCAGGTCCCAGCCCGGGGGGGCTGCAGGCTGTTGCCTCCCTCCCCGAGCGCTGCCCCTCTCCGGTGCCCAGGGACGCTCACCAGATTTGGGGAAGGTGACCACCACGATGTCCTCGGGGCGGCTCTGGAAGGTGTCAATCCGCTCCCAGTCATGGGCAAAGGCGTTGACCATGGGAATACCGTGCACCATGTGCCAGGGCTGCTGCAGGTAGGTGTCTGGATTGGCCATCCTGCTGGGGACAGGGATGCAGGGGGGGGGGCTGGCTGGCAGTGGGGAGCACCACGGGGACACCTCATTCCCTGGGGTCTGCAAAATCCCTGCTGCGCACAGCCATCCCAGCCATGGGAAGGAATCTGTTGCCCTGCTTGCTGGCATCCCAGGAGGTGGCATCTACCTCTGTGGGGATTTTGGGGGCTGCAGGGATCTTGGAGGGGCACGGCTGGCCCTGGTGGGCTCAGGTCAGCACAGGTAGTAGGCAGCTGCCTGTACCAAGCTGGCAGCACTGTTCCTGGGGTGTAAAAGCTCGCAAGGGCTTTGCTGGCTGGGGTTTCAGGCTGCTTTCTGCTGGCCCCCAGCCGTTGCACAACGGCACAGGGAAGCCCAGCTTGGGGGAGATATGTGAGGGTTTGAAGGAGATGGGAACACGGACCAGGGCTTGCAGGACTCTCCACAGGATACATTTCCACCTGATGGCCAGGACAGAAACACTGGAGATGCCGGCTGTGAAACCCCCATGCCATAATTTTTGGAGAGAGGCTTTGTGGCTCGCCTCTGTCTCCCAGCGGTTTGCGAGGACACCGAGCCCCTCCAAGCCCCCCTGTACCCCCCATGCAGGTGCTCTGCTTGTGAGGCCAGGGCACCCCAAACCGGGCTGAGCCCCTTGACCACGGCCAGGGTCTCCCCCTTACCTGCCTCTTCATGGGGCTCTCTGGCAGGGAGGAGGCAAAGCTTTGCCCACAGCCTGGGAAGGATTTGTTATTTTTCCCTTCCCTGTGTGGAAGATGGAGGCGCAGGGAGGTGCCAGGGAGGTGGACATCATTAGGGAAGGGACCCGGCGCAACCTGGTCCCGGCGCTGTGGAGCGAGGAGCGCAGGGAAGGGGTGAGTGGGGATGGGGACGCAGGCCCTCTGGGAACGGTCCCCAGACACCTGTGATGAGCTGTGCTGTGCTCAGCACCCCCCCGGTAAACACACAGATGGGGGGAGGGGGGCGGCAGGAATCACAGCTTCCCTCTCCACCCGCAGTGGCAAAAGCAGGGAGGAAATCCCAATCCACAACCCAGGGGGTTTGAACATCACCCTGTCCCTATCCAGGCGTCACCCCCATGGATGTCCCCAGCTCCTCACACTGGTGCAGGTCTTGCTAGTGGAATGTGGGAGTCAGGCTTTGGTTATCCCCACACCCTCCCCAGGCACTCAAATATGGGTCCAAAGTTTGCAGGGTTGCACAGCACCAGTGCAGCCAATATCGTGCTTCTGGGAAAAGGGTTTAAAGGCGCCTGTGGTGGTGAAATGCTCCTCTTTACCTGCTTCCCACGGGCGAGCTCGAGCTGGGAGTGAGCAGGGAGGGCAGGAGAGATGGCAGCCAGGCAGGGGCAGCTTGCCTGTTTGCAACCTTGAGAAAAACATCCCTGATTTGTCCCCAGAGCCAAGTTCCCGGTGAGGCAGGACAGGCCATGTCAGGCGCTTGGGTGTTTTGCTGGCAGGGACATGCCCTCCCTGCCCATCCAGCTGTACATATGCCAGCAAAACTGGCAGTGTGTGCAAACCCTGCAGGCAAAGCCAGGAGCTGGGGAAGCCCAGAGATCTCCATTGGCATTTAATTAGATGCATGGAAAGGATTTATTCCTGTGGGAGAGCTTCCCTTATAGCACTGCTGCTCTTTAGGAGTCAGATGTGGGTTGCATCTCTTTGGGGATGAAGCAAGCTTACAAGACTGCCTTGCCAAAAAGCTGCAATCTTGGAAATTCAAGAACAGGCTGGAAACGGGGCATAACTGGGGAATCTGGGGCTCTAAAGCAAACCCCTTCCCCCAGTGGCATGGGGACTGGTTTGCTCCAGCCATGTCTGAGAAAGGGCTGGGCACAGCCAGGTTGGAGATTGCAGAGTGGGTTCCCCATTTGGCAAGAGCTGTGATGTTGCTGCCAATACACCGGTGGGGAGGTGTTTCCCTTTGGCTTTGCTCTGCAAACCATGGGCTGACACGCTCCGGCGGGGCCAGGGAGCCTGGGGCGAGCCCTGCCACCGCCCACTCTGTCAAGAAACTTGTCACAACCCAGAAGCATGAAAGCTCCTGTGCACACAAAAGCTGTGAGGGCAGTGGGTTCACCAGCGCTTCGGGGGTTTTCCACTCTTCACTGATCTTTGCTCCCTCCAGATGCCTTGGTAGGATGGAGCTGGTGTGGCCCAAGGCGTTGGGGGCCAGCAGTGGTCTTTGGTAGGATGCCCACCCTTGGTGATGCCTGGCCACCACCAGCTAAAAATCTACCATGCACACCCACCCTCCCACTCACTGAGCATGGGAGTGTCCCCAGCCACTGTCCTGGATTTGGGGGGTTCAGCCCCCTCACCTTTCCCCACAGGCAATGGCTTGCCCTCCACTTATCCCAATTTATCACAGGGGGGAAAGCGAATTGGCACAAGAATGCTCTGTCCAGACCCACCCTCCCCGCCAGGGGAGTGGGGAGAAGCAGAGCCCCCCCAGGAAGGGGGATGAGCCCCTCACGCCTCCATCTGGAAGTTGAGGTTGGAGCCTGCCATGTGCTCCTGGTAGTGCTGGTCAAAATGCTTGTTTTGGGCCATGGTGCAGTGGTTCTTCCAGTCCCCAGTGATCCCTGGGGGCAAGAAAATGAGTGGGGCAAATCCTGATACCCCCAAAATACTTGCAGCCGTGAATAGGGACTGCAATACAGCCCAGGGACACCTGTCCCAAAGCCTCCACTGCTGGCCAACCCCACCTTTCCAGAGGAAGGGGGAGAGGCTGTGGTCCATCAGGGTAGTGGGCATGGTCTCGTAGTCAGCAGCAGGGTTCTTCTTCATCTCCTGCAAGGAGGTGTGGTGGACCATCCTTGCCACCGTCCCCTCCACCACCTCCTTGCCCAGAAATTCAGGATCTTCTGCACCTCCTGCCATGGGTCCTGCAGGGTGGCTGTCATGGGGAGGCTGGCAAAAAGCCTGGGGGGGACAACTGGGCTACCCTCCCCTCCATCCCTCCCTCACCTTCTTCATGTCCTCATAGAAGAGGTAGAGGAGTTGCTCCTCCTGCTTCTTCTCCCACCAGCCCCACACGTGCTCATACGAGGACCCGTAGGCCACTGCAGGATGCAGTCAAGGGGTTAGCCAAAAAGTGGCATGGTGAGGAACACCCTCCCCACGGTGTTTCAGGATGGGCACCCTGGGGCTCAGCCCCCACCTTTGCCACCCATGAAGGTCTCCAGGAACTCACCCAGTGTGCTGGGGTCAGGGTGCATCTTGGCCATCTCGTAGAAGTAGTAGTGGGAAAAGATGACATCTTGGGGTTGTGGGCCATGTAGATGACCTGGGGACAGTTGAGGATGTGGTTGGGAGGTGCAGAGCAATGCCCTCCTCCCTACCACCTGGATGGGGAGAGAAACGGGGGGCACCCACAGTGTTACCTTGCAGTTCTTGTCCTGGAAGGAGGTCAGGAGGAGCTGGACCAGGAGATGGGTCTTCACCAGCTGCAGGGACAGGGTTTTCTCCAGCATCTCGATGCCTGTGGGACAGGGGGCTTAGCAGTGTGAACCCCAGGACCCTCACCCCCACCCCAGCTCAGCCCCCTCCCCACACAACCCAAGGGGGGCAGCCGGGCTGGGAGACTCACTTCTCGACATCTTGGGGGCCTTCATTTCCAGGAAGGGCACCCAGTTGACGATGGCATCCCATTGGCACTTCTCCACATCGCCGTCGTGGTATATCTCATCCAGGATCTTGCTCAGCCACGTCGTGCCTACAGCACAGGGAAAGTGTTGCAAGGGCTGGCGTCACCCTGTCCCACCTGCACCCTTCCCCAGGGCCACTCACCCGATTTGGGGTTGGTGGCGATGAGCAGGTCAGCTGGCCGGACTTGGAAAGCCTCCACCTGTGGCCAGGCCTTGACAAAGCACTTGTAGAGGGGGCTGCCATGGAGGCCGCCCAGCTCCCCCCTGACCACGTCTTCCCTCCCCGTGGCCGACGGCGGGCGTCCGTGGTGCCGGCTGTCCTCCCCACCGGCAGCTGCCGCGACCTCGGGACCAGCTGGATTCTGTGGTGGGACCGCGTCCAGGGCAGCACCCTGTCAGCCGAAGTCCACCCCGGATCGCATGCGGCGGAGTGCCGGCGGGGTGATGCCCCATTCCCCGGCAGGACACCGCTGCGAAACTTTCGGTGCCAGCCGTGAGGGGCCAGGAAGGGAGCCCGGCGTCGCCTCTGCTTCCGCCCGGCCACTCTTCTCCCCCTGCTTCAGCCCCTTTAATGGCTGCCGCGGGGTTTCGGAGCGCCGGGACAGCTCTGCCACCCGCGGCACCACCATCCTCCGCCGTCGGCCGTACCCGCCGTGTTCTGCGGGCACTGGTCGGCAGCACGGCTGGCCCCAGGAGCCTCGGCTCCTCTGCCCTCCCATCCCTTCCCCAAGCGGTAATGGTTAACGAAAGCCGGCTGGGCCAAGGGCCACGGAGGGTGGGAAGCAGGTTTAAAGGGCCAACGGCCGAGGCGTGAGGGTGTTTTTGGGGTGGGCATCCCCCGGGGAGCCTGTGGGGCCTCCCTGACCCCCATCCCAGCTGGTCACTGGCAAAGGAGAGGCAGACGCAGACATGTTATAGGCAGGCACGTGGGCGAGTAGCCTGGCGGGGGGGCAACGGCGTTGTGGGGTGAGGGCGGGACGGGTGTCGCAGAGCGCCCAGGCGGGTCGCGCCCGGGCGCCATGACGGTCTCACCGGTGACGGCACGGAGGGGGCCGCGGTGCCGCTCGGCGGCCGCCAGGGGGCGCC